CCCTTGATGGAGGTTTCCTAAGTGTTTTTTTTTTGTGTGTGTGTAAATTAATTGATAATCAAATTTAGGATGAAAGAAAGTGGTGAAAAAGAATGAATAAAGCCAACTCTTTGTGTGGCGTAGATCAATTTCCATTTGTGTGATTGTTGAGACATAAATACCCTTCAATTGTCTAATACATACACACACACGGTTGTTCTTAAATGTTATTTTTGGATTCGTTTCCTTAATTTCATCAAAACATCAACAAAAAAGAGATTTCTATATCGTAAATATCCCGCTATATAAATATATGAAAGGGCTAAATTCAAGAAATAGCAAAATACTTTCATTTATTTGGGTATTAGAACATCCTACTCTTGTTTATTCTATTATAACATTATACTCTCAATTTTTTTTACTTATTATGACATTTTATTCAAAAAAACTACATAATAATTACATTGTGTTTTTAACTTTTTTTTTATTTAAGACAATGTACTTTGAAAAAAACTACCCAATTGTAACAAGCAAAAATTACTTTGTATTTACTTAGGTGGTATTGCTACAATTATGTAAAATTCTTTTATAGTACATTGTTATATTAGCAAAAAAGAAAGAACGAGTGCTATACCATACAAATCAATTAATATACATTGTTGTATTTTATATAAGACGACATTGGTGGTAATGAAATAATGAACTGGGGATCATATAATTCTCAACTTCATTGGGCTTAGAGTAATTTCAGATGTCATGGCCCATATTTTATCAAAATCAACTAAGACTTGGACTCCCATCGTTTCTCAAAATCATAACATATTCTTTAAACAATAATATACAAAGTTTGTTATATACAAATTAAATATTTGTACACTGTATGTAATGTGATATCAGTCGAAATAATCGAGCAAGGAAACAAATCTTTAAATATAATTTTTTTTTTTTTTTTTTTTTTTATAGGTTCACTTAGTTTCGTGAAACCATAAAACCCCCCACCAATTTATCTCATAAAACTTTACAAATTTACATTTTTAACACTAACCTTTAACGAGAACCAGGACCCACCCTAGATGACCCCGATACCCTACGACCGGGTGGTGCACCGGACATCGACAGCCGTCTATTAACCGCCGGTTTCTTCTTCGCCGACCCTAACGGACTTGGGCAAGGGCTAGGGCTACGGCTTGGACTCTGAACCGGAGCTGGAATCAGGGATTTGGTCTTAGTCGATCTCGGAGAAGAAACTCGAGGTGAAGAGACACGAGGGGAAGAAGCGCGAGGTGAAGAGACTGAAGATTCTTCACGAAGTGAAGTATTTGCGATGCTGTGCCTTCGGTTTCTCGGCGATTGAATGGCGTCGTTTCCTTTTTTAGGGCTTGATGTTGCGAGCCTTCTACCGGATACTGACGGAGATCTTGGGGATGAAACGGAATTGCTCATGTCTCCGACAGACGATGAACGGGTTATGGTTTTTACCGGAGGCGGTGGTTCGTTATCGTTTGGGCTTTGGGATTCCCATGGCCGGGCCGCCATCCACCGGTCTAACCAGCTCCATCCCCAGTGGGGATTGTTTGGATCCATGAACGTTGGATTTCCGTTCTTCTGGTTCTTCCACATTTGCTATTGATATTCGTAAAAAAAAACACAAGAATTTTGATGTTTTGAATTGGGATTTTCAGATGGATGAACATGGTAATTGGTATGGTGGTCGGAGTTTTACCTGTTGAGTCTGTGCATAAGCCAACGCCCTTTCTCGGAGTGCTGTAGCCTCGACTTTCTTCTGTAAGCTCGCTTCTACTTCCTCCTTTGTTCTTCGACTGTTATTCCATTCGCCTCCCATCTAATTCAAACATTACAAATACAATCATCAAAATAAACCATGATTCATCTCCAACTCATAATATCATGCACAATTCATTAAATTATACACCGGAAATATCTAAATATAATATAAAACTTACAGAGAATCTCATGTTGTCAAGCTCTCTCTCACGTTTCTGCATAAGTTGTCGTTGGAGAGCCTGATTCTCTTCAGACATTCGAATCCTTCTGGCTCGAACCTGAGACTGGACACGTGCCAGAGTCTGCATACATCTTAAAGTCGTAATCGCTTGTCGTTTCACCGATTGACTTTGAATCAACACTTTCAACCTTATATACCCCTTCAAAGACCTTAACTTTCTTCTTGCCTTTAATTTCAACAATAAAAAAAAAATTAAAAAGTAAAAACCCATCTATAATAATTTTATATTGCCGTATTTTTTACATAGGTGTGTTGACATTACCGAAAACCGCCGGAAAGCTGTCTGAATCTTGATGGCGGCTATGTCTTCTTTAGATTTACCCAATAAACGCCGGAAAGCTGCTGCAGCTACTGCCGCCCTTGAATACGCAAAAGAAGGTTTGACTGGTTCGTTGACCGGTTTTGGGGGTTTGGGCGGCGGTTCAAACTCTGGTTTTGGGGGTTTTTTCTCCTCGATTACAGGGTTTGTGGGTTTGTTTGGTTCGATTTTGGGTTCTGTGGGTTTGTTCGGTTGAATTTCCGGTTCTGCGGGTTTTTTTGGTGAGTTCTCCGGTTCTGCAATGGTTACCTCCTCCTCTGGTTCAGGGAAAGGAGAACGAAGTGCAGGTGTGGCGAATACAGATTCTTCATGTGGGGTCTCTGATTCGATGTTCTTTTGCTTTCCAAACCATGATTTTTTAGATGCTGTTTTCTGGGGCTGTTTTCAGTGATAAGATTAAGAAGATATGAGTGTGGAAAGATGTTGACATTTCGTCGAACACGTTGTGTGCAGAAAGAAGAAAAAGGAAGAGGAACACGATGAAATGGAAACAGAAACACATACCTTTTCTTTTTTCTCCTTGGAATCATAACTAGGGATCAAAGCTTTCCTCACTGCAGAAAACCATCCTCCCTTCTTTCCCATTAGCTCGTCAAATCATCTTCCAAACAGCAACAAAAAAAATGCTTAAATTGAAATCCAATTTACGATAAAGATAATTAACGACGATAAGGAAAAATGGAAATGCATATTGCCTACTGAACCAATTCAATGGAAAAATAACCGAAATTAAACGGACATTTAAAACCCAGAACTACATAAATTGACACAAAATCCCTATTGTGGATCAAGACCGATATTGAAATTTTACAATAAAAACATCATCGCAGTTAATGGTTTCCCAATTAAATGATATGACAATCAAGACAAATAAAAATGCATATTGCCAACTAAACCAATTTAATTGATAATTCGAAAGAAAATAAACGAACACTCAAAGCCCAGATAAACCAATGTCTTGGAGAAAAGAGTTACTCGTGTTAATTGGGTTTATTAGGGCGCATTGCATCACAAACCCATATGATTTTTAAGAATCGAATAGTAATCAAGAAGCAAAAACAGAGACAAGTTTTGGGGGGAAACATGAAGATTAACGACATATGTCGAATAACAAAATGAAATAAAAAAAAGAAACAAAGAGAAGCATTGATGTTGATTTTGTTAAAATTGAAATAAGAGGGAGATAGATACCTGCAACAGAAGATCAGAAAGTTGAAATCTTTCTGAAAGTCTTGTTGAAAGAAATAATAAGCCTTCTGCTGCGGAGATTATTAGAGGCAGGGAAATGGCCTTTAGAACGTCGCCCTTGAAATGGAGGAAGAAGGGTTTTCGCTATTTTGGGAAATGAGCAGTTGAGGTTGAGGATCATATTAAGTTAACGTTTTGCTTTCGCGGGTCATTAGTAACGACCGTTTATTTTTATTTTTTTTAAAAGTTATTAAATTACACGAATGGTCCTTGTGGTTTAGGATAATCTACCTTTATTTTTTTTTTTGATTTATATATATACTAATTTTGAACTACATGATGAACAGGAGTTGCTTCTGATTGGACAATTTTTTTTGTTTTTTTTTTGTTGGTTTATGCAAGTGATTTGTTTTACACGCGTTCTTTTCTCCTTCCACCGATTGCCTGTTCTCAATATAGTGTCCTTCACCGTTTCTATTTTCCAATAACATTACTCCACCACACCCCACCACCACCGATGTCTCGATATCTGAATATCAGGTGCTTTCAAGCCGTCTTCTTCGATTGTGCTTCCCACCCCACCGTATCTGTTCTATTTCCTCACAGAATCCTTTTTTTTCCTTCATCCACCGCCATTCACTTCAATCGCTCTCATTTTTATGATTTGTCCCATTAGTTTCGTTTTTGAGCCGGTTGCTCCCTCCACCGCCTCTCCCACCCAAGAGAGATCGTAGAAAAACTCGAATCCCTGTTTCCTTTTATAATTTTTTTAGTCACCTTCCAAAATCAACCCTCAATTTCGTTTTCTATGGCCTATGGATTCGTTTGCATCTTGGTACCAACTAGCAATTGGGTTTACTTACGTTGTTTTTACCCATTGTAGCCGCCAAATTCACGACACTTTATCCCATCAACCGATTAATCGAGTCAAGCTCCACTACTTCCATGTTCGTTCNGTAGCCGCCAAATTCACAACACTTTATCCCATCAACCGATTAATCGAGTCAAGCTCCACTACTTCCATGTTCGTTCCATATTTGGGGGTTAAGTACTGAACTATCTCTAATCAGATCCTAATCCCCATCTACTAATAGAACGCTCATCACCTATCGTCGGCGTCGTTGTCACACTCACAACTTCGAAGCTACAATCTGAGATAGAAGTCGATACATGTATTCCACCGTCTGTACACGGATGTG